GCAAATGTATCGCGCCTTTGCACCGTCCTCGCCATATATAAGAAGGGCTTCGAGATGGCCATGTCCCGGCGGCAGCCGACGACGTATGCCCCGAGCTACGTGAACCATTTCAACGGGTACCTTATGGACATTTGCAATTGCCTCTGGCGCGGCAAGGCTTTCAACGATGGCGATAAGAACGCTCTCGGCTGCCTCAGCGCGCCCCCTGTCACACAGCGGCTGCGCAGATACGTCGAAGACCTGGGCATGGACCTCGCCCTTCCGACGCTGTTTGGGTTCTCCTATTCGCCGTTGTTGAGCTTACAGGCCATTGAATGTATCCGCGAGCTCGAGGATCGTGAGCTGGCTGCGAATGAGGATGCCATCTCTACACGACACGCGGGGCCGGTGACGTCAAACAGTCTGGCGAGGTTGGCAGACGCCAGGGGCTTGCGCATCACTTGGTCCGAGTATAGGATCATTGTGCTGCGAGCATTGGAGGGCAAGGGATTGGGCGGCATACCATCGCTGATGAAGAACACGATGAAGGTCCTCATGAGCTCTAAGAGTGCTACATAGAGACATCATGTTTCCACAGCACGACTCGGCTCATGCCTGGCCGATATTGCGCCAGGAACAGGCTCAGGACGCACGCATTTATGATACCCCATATTCGGAGATGAATAGCGCTACCTCAAAGTAGATGTCTTTCTGACAGTCTGTTGCATGACTTTCTCATATCTGTCTAGTTGAGTCGACAGCCGATCCTCCTCCCAAACGTCACGCTCCCCTTTTTGGTTGAAGACATAGGGTATCTCTAAAGCCGTGGAAATCCTGAAAGAAAATAAGCCCATCAGGGTTGTGCCCTCCCCTCCTCTTGTTGAAGAGGTCTGCTACATGACCAAACGCCGCCGTCGAGCAAGGCTGGTTGAGAGTGCCTCCCTTTGGACCCCCACTCGTCTTGTTTCTACCGTATGCTCTGGTTCTTCCCGTTCTCTGTATGCCGTGGTCTAAGTTGAAAGACACACCGATGCGGAAAACGACCCCCTAGTCGCCGCATCACAATGTTGAAACCCCAAAAACGCACAAACGCCGTCCCTAATGCAGTTGAGTGCCGTAGACGCCGTTCTCTCTAGCAAAAATGCAGACAGACATTGTCGTAAACAAAAACAGGTTGTTGAATCACTCCCCATCGCCAACCAACACCCGCTCCTCCCAAGCTTTCGTCAAACCGTCATCAACAAAGGCCAAGTTTTATTTCAGCTTATCAGACTCGTCGCCGTAGCCTCCGACACCGCCAGTGGCATACGTCTTACCCTCAGGCGCGACCCTCGCCTGCGATCTCGGGCCGCGGTCCTTGAGATCCTTGCGCAGCCAGCCGAGGACCAGCTCGCCGAGGGTGCTGTTGCCCGTGGAGCCGTCGAGGCCCTCGATGAACTTGTCGGCCGTGTCCCACTCGCGGACGGTGCCGAGGTGCATGTGGACCAGGTGGGTGGGCCAATCGGCGAGGTTGTCGAGGATGTGCGTCGCATAGACAATGGTACAGTCGCGAATGTCCGTCTCGCGGCGCAGCCAGGCGAGGAACTCTGCACGGCTGAGGACGTCGAGGTCGACGGTGATCTCGTCGAGCAGCAAGATGGTCCAGGGCCGGATGAGGCCCATGGCGAGCTGGACCCTGCGGCGCTCGCCGTCCGAGACGGCGTGCATGCGCCAGGCGGTGTCGATGTCGAGAACGCTGACGAGCTCGTCGCGGCGGTCCGGGTAGGCGTCGCCGCCGACAGACCTCAGGAGCTCGAGGACGCCAATGTCGGTGCGGACGATGGGGTTGAGGACCCATTCGAGGCCGAGGTAGGTGACGCCTTCGAGGCCGTCTTTGAAGGGGTCGATGCCGGCGATGGAGATGCCGCCTTGCGGAGCGAGGCGCTTGCCGGCGAGGAGGCGGAGGAGAGTGGTCTTGCCTGCGCCGTTGGCGCCGATAAGAAGGGTGCGAGAGCGGGACGGGACGGAGAGGGAGATGTTCTTGAGGCCGGAGCTCGAGTCTTGGAAGTTGTAGCTGAGGTTTGTCACCTCGATTGTGGGCGATTTTTGAGCCATTGTGAAGTTTGTGTGGTGGGGATTCTCAATAAAATCTATGGAACCAAGTGTAAGAAAGTAAGTGCGACTGAAGAAAAGGGGAATATAAGTTTGGTCGTGAGAAGATGTGAGATGTTCAAGGAGAAGGAGAGAGAGAGGTTGAGAGCAAGGGAAAAAAGATGATTCTCACCGCCCACAAACTAGAGGCGTCATGACCTGACCCCCCGGCGATACTGCGGGAAGACGGAGACCGAGGGACTGTGCCAAGGCCAGAACCGCCTGAGCGCTGCCAAACCCGCGTGTCTTAACACTTTACCGCGCATTGGGTTAGCAACCAAGTTAACTACAGCCCGGCGGGATGGCGGGGGAGGGAGAGGAAAAAAGTGCCCCTCATTCTCATTCCAGAGGGCGTCGATGACACACACAGGGAGCAGAGAACAAGGGCACCCCGCCATCCAATTGACTTTAGGTAGCGCAGGTTGACTGGACGGAGGGCACAGTCCCCTGAACCGACTCTCCGGGCCGCTCCAAGCACCGGGGCGGGGCTACTCACCGGGGATGCAAGCCACAGGGAGCTTGCAAACACGGAACCCCTCCCCAACCCAACCACAATTAACGCCAAAAGTCGCGACTTTCACCACCCCAAAGTCCTCCGACGCGTCACAAGTGCGCATCCAATTCATATCCTAGCTCCAGACATCCACCACGTCAATTGACACTGCGCAAAAGCTTCGTTCAGCTCAGTAGCATCAAATCAACCCTCACACAACTGTTTCAAGAAAAGTACAATCTATTTCTGCAATGGTGACCCTCGAAGAAGCCACCGCGCTTCTCCAAAAGCCAGCGTACGTTCAACCCGCCCCTCCCCCTCCGTATAGAAGTTAGCTAACCAGCTTCTTTCAAAACCACAGCGACGCAACCGCATCCTCTTCGAACCTCGTCCGCGCCACATCGACCTACAAACCCTTTCACACCTTTGACCTCCCCAAGGACCGCTCGTACCAGCAGCAGTATGCCGACGTCTACTTCCTGCGCCTCACTTCCATCCGGCCCGCTGTCGACGCAGTCGCTGCCGAGGCATGGGACGGTACCGTCATAGGCGGCGAGGAGGCTCGTCATGTGAATCGTGTTCTTGACGTCCGTCAGGGCGAGCTGTGCTGGGTGACGGGGACGGTCTACATGGACATGGCGTTGAAGCCCAATATCTTGGAGGACGTTTCCAAGGATGTACGTCCCTTGACCTCTTCTCCCTCCCCCTTTCAAGCTACACACCATGACATGGAGGACTAACGAAGACACCTAGCGCTGGATCTCTGCCCCCATCTCCACGGATCGCTACTTCTCGGACGAAGACAAGGACACAATCATGCTCGAAGACGACTCGGGCCGCATCCGCCTCGTCGGCGACATCCTCAAGTCCATCCACCTCGTCACGGGCACAATCATCGGCGTAATGGGCTCCGAAAACGCAAACGGCGAGCTCGAAGTCATCGACGTCAAATTCCCAGACATTGCGCCCCAACCAACCCGCTGGACTATCGTAAACAACCCCTCAGAAGATCACGACATGTCCGGCAACACACCATCCCAACAACGGCCCTCCTCCAAGATCGCCATCGTCTCGGGCCTCTCCTTCTCGGGCACAGACGCTTCCCACGCCCTCGAACTCTCCCTCCTCCAAGAATACCTCCTCGGCGAAGCCCTCTCCCCAGCGACCCAATCCGAACTCACCACCATTTCCCGCCTCATCATCGCAGGAAACTCCATCGACACCACCGCCGCCGCAGCCGAAACCACCAACAACAACACCACCAGCACAACCAACGGCAGCAGCAAAGCCTCAACCACCAACAAAAAGTACGGCTACGATGCGAGCGCATACAACCCGCTCCCAAGCCAACTCTTCGACGACTTCCTCGCCGACCTCCTCCCCTCCCTCCCCGTCACCCTCATGCCGGGCACCCAAGACCCAGCCAACGCAAGCTACCCGCAACAACCGATCCACGCAGCAATGTTCCCGCGCTCGCGGCCCTACTGCGCCGCGCCGGACGCCAAAGAAGCGGGCTGGTTCGACACCACGACGAACCCCTGGGAAGGCGAGGTCGACGGCTGGAGGGTCCTCGGCACGGGCGGCCAAAACGTCGACGACGTCTTCAAGTACGTCGATAGCGATGATCGGCTCGGTATGATGGAGGCCATGTGTAGGTGGCGGTGCAGTGCGCCGACGGCGCCGGATACACTTTGTGAGTTTTAACAACCCTTTTTCCACTGCCTTGTGGATAATCAGACAACTGACTGCTCTCATATAGGGGCCTATCCCTTCCAAGACGACGACCCGTTCGTCATGAGGAATGCGCCGCATCTCTTCTTCGTCGGCTGCCAGCCCGAGTTCTCGACTAAAGTCATTGAGGGCGGTGACGGCCAGCAGGTCCGGCTGATTACTGTGCCGTCCTTTGCGGAGACCAAGGAGCTGGTGTTGGTGGACACGGAGACGTTGGAGGTTTCAAAGGTCAAGATCACGGCGGCGTCAACATCAGCAGCGACATCATGATGAGGATTGAGAAAGAGAGAGAACTGGGAATGGCTGTGGAGGAGAGCATAAACAAAAGGTCCATGATTTGATATACCCCGCCTAAGCTATGAAGAAAATTGCAAAGTGTCTCTGTCATGTAGCGCAGAGTCTGAATCGATGCTTCCAATGTTCTAAGGTCTAAAGATGAGGAAATCAAACGCTGTGGGAGATATTCTATGAACCGACTGCCTGCTCAAAGGGGCTGCAGGAATAACCTCCCTATGCATCTGCGAATCCGATGAAGACCAAATGCCATCGCCCCTCCTGTCCCAGCATCAAAGTTCTCACGCATATCTCCCTGCAAAAAAAAACGCACCGCAAACCAAAATCAAGGACCCAAAGCAAGCCCATGCCCAGACGCAGCAAAGCCATCACATCAGAAATCATCATCCTCAAAAAGAAAAAACTCCCCATAGTCATCACAATCATCATCGTCATCAAAGTCCACCCGCTGGCGCTTGAACCGCCCATTCGAGGCCTCCCAAATCTTGCGAATCGCAGCCGGCAAAGACTCGAGCTTCCTCTGCGCCTCGCCCGCCTTGGCGCTGCGGTACGACTGCATGACCTGGTCGTCCCGCCACAGGTCCTTCTCGCCGCGCTTGGCGCGCCGGATGTTGGCTGCGTACTTCATGTTGAGGCGGATCTTCTCTTGGCCTCGCTTTTCTTGGTTACCTTCGCCATCGCCGCCGACACCGCTGACGCTAACGCCCGTGTTGACGAGAATCTCGATGAACTGGCATGGCAGGCCGCGGAGCGTGCGCACGACCTCGGAGGACCGCTCGAAGAAGTCGAGAAAGGAGAGGTCACCCGTGCCCGGGTCGCGCTGGGGCGTGATGTCGATGGTGAGGGTGTGGATGCGCGGACGGATGGGCCGCAGGAGACGGAAGACGTTGATGGCGTTGGCCATGCTGAGGCGGTACGACGCTTCGGCGCGGTTGGGCTCGGCGACGATCATGAGCTTGCGGAACTTGTGACCGAAGCGGCGGACATCGATCTCGGTTCCCTTGTAGTTGTTGCCCAGGGAAGAAGACGATGCGGGGAGGCGGTCGTCGTCATCGGAGTACTCGTATGCGCTGTCTGCCTCGTAGTCGGAGAGGGCGTCATTGGCGAGCGGGTGCTGGACCACGATTTCGTTCTCGCCCTGCGCGTTCAGCGCGGGGGGTTCTGCGGCGTCGCGGAGGAGGTAGAGAAAGGTGTTCTCGCCGTAGAGGGTGTTGAGCGCCTCCCTTCTGACCTGACGGCACGATAGGAGGAGGTCGGTGGGGATGCCTGGTCTGTTCCGGGGGTAGACTGCAGACCAACCCTGCCGGACTCGAATGGGCTCATCGGCGACCAAGATGTACTTGTAGATATCCTCCCTGATCTCAAGAGGAATTCGAAAAAAAGGGCAAGTGCGGCTTTCGGGCTCCGGCTCTGGCTCTGACTCCGGGGTGGCTGTTCTTGATAAGATGCTGCTGTACCGGCTGGACTTTGCTCTCGCCTGCCAGCTTCCGGGGCGAACTACCTCTTTGCCCTTGTTGCGAGCAAGCTGAGACTGGGGAGGAGGTGGAAGAGGGAAGTGAGGAGCACCCCAAGTGAAGTGGGCCGTCGACTTTCTCGCAAAGGTTACTCCGTAATCACGCGGCGGAGGCTTCTCGCGAACAGCATGGTAATCGTGAGCGTTGATGTTGCCGCCCACTCTGCGTCGTTTGATGGGTTGAATTGTGCCATCATCATTGCTGTCTTCTTCGGCAACGGTAATGGTTCTCTTGTGGCCTGCGATGACGACTGTAGCCTCAGCTGGCTTGGGAGTCCTTTCCTTCTTAGCTGAGGCGCGCCCCTTTTTCATTTGAAAAGATGCGGCCCCAGCTGTCTTGCTTCGAGGTACACCAGTAGTGGCCGCCTTCTTGCCCACACGGGAACTCTTGACCATGCGGGAGATCTTGGAAGGAGGCATGTTGCAACTGATATGAGGCTGCAGACTGGTTGTATCTGAAGTTGAATTAGGTATCCCGGAAATCGGCAAGAGAACTTGTGCTTGAGGTGATTGGGCGTATGTCTCTACAAGTTTCTGTGCTAAATGGCTTGAAGTTGGAAAAGTCCTCAGTAGAAGCTAGTGTAGTCAATAAAGTGAAGAGCTCATGACCCTCAAAATCAAATGGAAAAGCTTGCTTACCTTCTTAGATGGTGCTTTGGTGAGATCTTCAAATCGGCGTGGATGAAATGCCCGAGAGGCAAGCCTCGTTTGTCTTCAAAGTATTAAGAGCAAGAAGAAGTCAGCTGATAAATTTGAATGAGAAGCAGCAACCATAAGGCCTCTTGCTGTCTTTGAGAGAATGATCACCTTTGAAGTGGTATAGGATTAGGAAAAAGAGGTTGTACTTTGGAGTTGTGTTTTCGTGAAGAACAAAGCCACTCAAAGTAGCAACGTAAAGGAAAGGTTATTGGGAGCGAAACCGTATTGAGGAGTACGCGCTTTCTTCTGCTCTGGCCCTTGGCAGCTGTGGTAGTGACGATCTGCTTACTACCTACCTCGGTTGAATTGGCTGTCTGGCGATGAAGTCAGTGATGAATGAAGAGAAACTGGCCGGGTGGTTTATTATTTTGGTGAAATAGGTGGGATGCCAGTGAGGTGCTGGTGGTGAAATAGAACTGGAAGACAGGCTCGTGAAATGAGTAATTGACGTCTCTTATATGGCCCAGGGAGGAAGGAAAGAGGGGTCGTCAAATTCAGAGGGAAGGCATACCTTTTAGAATGCCCGGAAAGAGCTCCGTCTGCATTAAGGGTACTTTTATTGGGAGCAATTGGATCAATTCTAATAAATTGAGGCTTCTGATACAGTCGTAGATCAGCAAGCCATCGGCAGTTGATGGAGTATAGATTCGCGAAATAGGTGTTTGCTAAAGAGTGAAGAGTAAAGACTCTGAAAAAGGGACAAAAAAGAGTTCAACCCCCCCCGCCCCCGGTGTTGAACTGGGGGCTCCATCTCTTGGTGTACATGCTGGGATTTACTGTTGATCTTTAAACACTCTCCCACCCATCCCAGTTTGACCTGACCTGTCGGCCTAGACGGGCGCCTGCTGGTTGCGGTGACGGGAATGGACTTGAGGGGGTGTATGAAGGCATCCTTCTGTGTATTCGGGCAGGTGGGATGGAGTTCGGGCACGTGCTAGTTAGGACGAGGACGAGGACAAATAATCATTCCCGTTAGGTTTACACCCTCTCACACTAATAGTCATAGACACGGAACCTAGCTTAGATTGTGACAATGATTATAGGGCCTAAGTCTGTTTCTCTGGTTATAGACCAACGTTGAACCTTCGTCAGATTCACGTTGAGGAGTTTCAATGCCTCCCACAATCTCCTCCATGCTCCCATCTCTTCATCACGCCTCTCCTCACGATACTATTTCACAAAGGCTGCAAAAAAACTATTTCCTGAACACACTTTGCGACTAGGTCTCTTCTACTTGCAGACCAGCGACTGAATAGTACCCAAGATGACGGCCGAACGTCAGCTCCGTTGTTGTCGACATGTCCGGAGGTCGGGCATGCTGAAGTGCTCCGGCTCGGCCTCCCGGTACCGATCGGCAGGGCTCCCGGTCGCCGTCGGATCCCTGTTCCGGCCGCGTGCACCCGCATCCGTAGGTGCGCCCTTTACTTGACTCAATGCAGTAACTTGACAATTGTAGTTGCACTCAGCGCACCCTGGCATAGGTATCGAGAAGCTTCTTTAGGGGAATCGTCGGCTTATAACAGAGAGTCAACAATACATAATGGATGCCAGTCTGAGCATTATCAACCTTTGGCGAACGTGTCTTTTCACGAATATAACGCCGGTTTAAAGAACACTCCATTAGCGCTCCTCGTCTCAAACGAGTTTCTCAAACTAGTCACACTTCACATTTCATCTCACCAACATCATCACAACTGAACCTCAAATTCTCAGAGCAAAAGGCCCATCAAAAAGGGAACTTATGTATGTACCCACTTACTACTCCGACCTCGCCAACCGGCCCTGATCAAAATCCCACCGGCTAACTCTAATTCAGTTCGCAAAGGCAGACCACAAAAGAAGCCTCCATCACCAAGCCTCCTACCACTGCCAAATCCGCCACAATGGGTTCCCTCAGCTCAGACTCCAAGAAGCCATGGATCCAAACACCATGCATCGCATCCGCGAGCCTGTCCCGCGCAGCAGGATGGTAAGTCGCCCCATGAGCCTGCTTGATTACCATCCTGTATCTGACACCACCCAGCAACATCTACCTCAAACTTGAAAACCTCCAACCCTCAGGCTCATTCAAGTCCCGCGGCGTAGGCAACCTCATGGTCCGCGCCGCCGCCTCCGCACCCCCCTCGCAAGAATCCCACTTCTACTGCTCCTCAGGCGGCAACGCCGGCCTCGCCTGCGCGACCTCGGCCATCGCCCTGAACCGCAAGGCCACCATCGTCGTGCCCATGACCACCTCCCCTCTCATGATCTCCAAGCTGCGCCTCCTCGGCGCCGACGTCCGCCAGATCGGCGCCAACTGGGCCGAGGCGGACGCCCACCTCCGCGAGGTGATGCTCGGCAACGACCCCGCAGGCGTGTACGTCCCGCCGTTTGATCACCCGCACATCTGGGACGGCGCGGCGACCATTGCCGACGAGCTCGTCTCGCAGTTGGCGGCAGGATCGTCGTCGCCGGGGAACGAGGTCGAGGTCAACGGAATCGTGTGTTCCGTCGGCGGCGGCGGATTACTAGCTGGTCTCGCGCAAGGCGTCTCGCAGAACCAGTGGCCAGGCGGCAGCGGTAGAGAGCCGCGGCTGATGGCCGTGGAGACCGTCGGCGCGGACAGTCTCAACGCCAGCGTGCTTGCCGGCGAGCACGTTACGCTGCCGGGGATCAAGTCCATTGCGGGGTCTCTGGGCGCGGTGCGCGTTGCGGCGAGGGCGTGGGAGGTGGCGAGGGACACGCCCGGGTTCCAGAGCGTGACGGTCACTGATGCGGAGGCGGCGCTGGCGTGTGTGCGGTTCGTGGATGACGCGCAGCTGGTGGTTGAGGTTGCTTGTGGTGCGACTGTTGCGACGGCTTACAACGGTGCGCTCAGGAAGAATTTTGGTGCGAGCATGTCAGATGAGGAGTGGGCGAGGCAGAACATTGTCCTTATTGTGTGCGGCGGCTCGAACGTCACTATGGAGATGCTGAACGGATACCGTACAACATACGGCGATGCTTCATGAAATCGTCCTCCAAGAGGGGAAAGAAATCTAAACTAAATAAAAGGAGGGACCAGCTTTGGTATACACCGGGATAGACTCTGTCCGGAAGATTCGAGATAAAACCTCAGAAGACGTGGGAGCGGAACAAGACTAGACACACATGATTGTAGACAGCTGCTGGGTTATATTCATCGGCATCGGAAAATCTATCTAGAATACACGACCTCACGATACTCATCCGCAGCCTTCACACCAGCATCAGAAGCCAAAAACTCATCCAAGTCCCCAAGAATCATCTGAATCTCGCCAAAATAGTTCACCTCCCCCTTCTGTACGAACCCCAGCCGCCGAAACAGCGCGATACTCGCAGCATTGCCCTCCTTAATCTTCACCATCAGGCCCTTGAGCTGCACCGGTGCCTTCTTGTCCCCCTTGCTCTCCTCCCGGACATACTCCTCGAGGATCCGCGCCTTGTTCCGATGAACGTACGTTAACAGCGTCGTCACCGCAGCGTGACCGATGCCCTTGCCGCGGTGCTCCTTGGATGCCACCATGACGTCCACCTCGCCGACGTACGAGCCCTCGTTTGCCGCAACTTGACCTTCTGCGTCGTCGTCATCGTCGTCGTAGGGGTAGATGAAGAAGTTGATGTCCCCTATCATCCGCTCCGAAGCATCAACCTCACCTGCCCGCACGGCATCGGTGGTCGCCGTCGATGACTCGAGAGGCTGGCAGATGATAAATGTGAGCTTGTCGTGAGATGTGCGCCACGACTGCTGATTCTCGTACTCCTCTTCCAACGTGAGCGGCTCTGACGCCGTGGCTTCTTGGATATCCTGTATGCATAGGAATCGCGCAGTTAGTCCTCTGTTCATCCCCTCTGCACCACAGGTCTGTCTCATCACTGGATGACTCGATCGTAAATGCATTTGCTTGCGGGCTGTTGGGCTGACCGGATCACTCATCCACTCATGATATCGCTCCACATGTCTCGCCTCGTAAGGGACGAGAGTCACCCTCGGCGTCACGATAGCTACTTTGCATGTAAGCGCTTGTCATCCTAAAACATATCGCGGCATCATCTCTCCGTGTCTCTCAGGGGAGAGAAAGATGGCGTGACGGACGCGGTACATGCCTGTATGCTCATTCAACCTCATTGTGTACTCTGCATAAGTCGCTTTTCGTCCCTCACAAGTTCACAACTGCAGCAGTTGCTGTCTCCCTCTCACAGGTCCACTTCGCAAAAGCCAAAACGCACCCCGCCGGTCTCGCCCACAACAAGCTCCTCTTCTCTCCTGCAGGCGTCCGAAAAGAGGGGGGGGGGACGCAGACCAAGGGTACCTGCGGCTGAGACAGGTGTACGATGGTTGAAGGATGGAGTTCTGGCCTGTAGAGCCCACACAACACAGCCGTAAATAAAGTCAACGTGCCAGAGTGGTTAATGGGCTGCCCTGCTACGGATCCATCAGGACTTGTCCTGTTCCAGCAGTTGAGGCAGTGGCTTCGGTCGCGCAAGTTCGAATCTTGTCGTTGACGATGATTTGTTTTTTTGGTTGGTCTCAGAGATTCCCAAGACTTGCTTGCAGGGTCAGTTGATGTGTCCGTGAGAGTGAATGTTTTTGTTTTTATACGACGGAGCTGGTGTAGCTGCGAAAGCTTCGGGGAGTTGTTCAGAACTTGCCCCACCATAGATGCCCGCTCACCCCAAATCGCAACGAAGAATCAGAAGAATAGAACAGCCATTCCGCATTTCTGGATGAAAAAAGTAAGTTAAAAAGAAGCTCGATCAATTCTCAATTCAATAGAGGCAAAGGTAAATGAATAAGACAAAAGAAAGCGCTGATGCGTCAAGGACAGGATTCGAACCTGCGCGACCGAAGCCACTGCCTAATCTGGAATCAAGGTTTGATAGCAGGGCAGCCCATTAACCACTCTGGCACCTTGACTAGTGACTGTTTTTATGATTCCAGGTAGTCAGTTGTCCTAAGTAGCGCCGCGTCTGGAGGCGCATCAGGAACGCTTTCTCAACCACCTCACTACTTTCTCTCACACGCCAGAGCATCTCGAATAGACCCTAAAGCAATGAAATCATCTTCGGAAAGGAACCCTTGAATCGCACCCCTGCTGACATAGGCCCTAGGAGCTTCGTTCAGTATCATTCCCATAATATCTACACACCATCTTACAATCGGCATCAACAGCGGAGATGGTACATTTTTTTTACACAGGGAGCACCTGTCTCAAAACAGCTTCCCGACCAACCACCCTCTCAGCTCAGTTCTCTGCCGGCTGAGGAGGAAACAGGCTGTTGAACTCCCCAGGGCGACCCAGATCAACCGTGGGCGTGCCGTACGTCAGATCCTTCCCAAACACCGCATCCTCGAAGCGGCGTTTACCGGCATCAACGCCCATCATGTCAAGCAGCATACCCATCTTGGTCGGCATCACCGGCTGCAAGAGAATGCCGGCGGAGCGGACGGCTTCCGACGCGTAGTAGATGACCTCGTGCTTCGCGGCCTGGACCTCGGGATTCGTCGAGTTGGCCAGCTTCCACGGTTCTGCGGCGGAAATGTACTTGTTTGCCTAAAAGAGTACACGATCAGCAGTGGACACCATGCAAGTCGAACCCCGATGCATCTGTGCTCTTCCATACCTCGGACAGAACGTGAAGAACGCTCCGAATGGCGGCATTGGGATTCAGCTCGTCCATGTGCTTCGACATGGTCGGCGCCATCTCGTCAATTAACGCCTTCAAACCCTCGCTGCCCTCCACCTTGTGACTCGTCAACGCACCATCGTTCTTCTCCGCTGCCCACACCACCGAGTCCCGAAGCTTCCACTTCTTGCTCTTGGCCACCCGGTTCATCAGGTTCCCCACTGTCGACTGCAAATCCTTCTGATACCGCGCGATGACCAAGGAGTTCTCATAATCCGCATCCTTCTCGATCCCGCCATCGCGCATCATAAAGTACCGCATCGTATCCAGCCCCCACCGGTCGACCGCAAAGAACGGATTCACCACATTGCCCAGCGACTTGGACATCTTCTTCTTCCCCAGCGTCCAGTGCGCGTGGCTAAGCAGCTGCTTCGGCAGCGGCAGATCCAGCGCCATCAGCAGCGCTGGCCAGTACACACCGTGGAACCGCACGATATCCTTGCCAATGATCTGCACGTCCGCCGGCCACCCGCCCTCGTGCTCGCGGCCCGGCGTCCAACCCGGGAATCCGGCCTTGGTGATGTAATTGATGAGCGCGTCGACCCAGACGTAAATCGTTTGCGTCGGGTCGTCCGGCACCCGCACGCCCCAGTCCAACCTCTGCACCGGCCGCGAGATGGACAGGTCCTCGAGGTTATTCGACACCCACGCCACCACCTCCTTCTGCCTTGCCCTCGGCACGATCCAATCCGGGTTCGCCTCGTAAAACGCCAGCAGCTTCTCCTTGAGCGCCGTCATGCGGAAGTGGTAATTCTTCTCCTCGATCCACTCCACCTCGTTCCCGGACTCGATGGCCGCCATGATGGTCCGTCCCGTCTGCGGCTCGACCCGCCGCTCAATCTCGTTGTTGCCGTAGAAGCACTCGTCGCTAACGCAGTACCACCCCTCATGCTTGGATTCGTAAATGTACCCACGCTCCTTGAGCAGGTGCCAAAAGTGCTGCACCGCCTCCTTGTGGTCCTGGTCCGTCGTGCGGATGAAGTGGTCGTTGGCCATGCCGATGGCCTTGGCCAGGTCGCGGAACTTCTCGGCCGTCGTGTCGCAGAACTCCTTGGCCGGCACACCTTGCTTCGCCGCCGCCTGCTGGACCTTGGAGCCGTGCTCGTCCGTGCCGGTACAGAGGATCGCGGTCCGGCCCTTTAGGACTTGCCAGCGCTTTAGGACGTCTGCCAGGAGCATCGAGTACATGTGGCCGACATGTGGTGCTGTGAGAGAACCATTCCTTTAGCCTGTGTCGAATCTTATAGAGCGATTCAAGGGGATTATACATACATGCATTGACGTAAAAGATGGGCGTCGTCACGTAGTATGGCTTGTCGCCCTTACTGTCGGAGCTCGCGAAACGGCGTCGCGATGTCTGCCCATGAGTGCACGAAGGGCAGACCCAGGGTGATCGCATCGCCGGGACATGGCGGCGGCTGCGGAATGCCGAAGCTGTGGATAACCTTGCTGGTCTCATCGAGCCTGTTGTTGTCGAGCCTACCGCTTGAGAAGCATGCCGTCGGTAGCTGGGATAGGCGAGTTGCGTGATGAATCGAAAGCTTGCAGTGTTCCTCTCGCTCCAAGTGCACCGTACGAATTGTGTTAGTCGATAACGGCCCAGAGCTCTTATCGGCGCACAATCCCTGTCTGCCCCGCCAAACTTCTTCCCGAGTCCTTTCAACCTTCCATTGTGTTGCGACAACACCGCCGAGTACACAATCCTACTACCAACTTTCCTCCTTCCACACACCACGATTGCAAGACACGAGCAGAGTACCGCAAAAATGTCTCTCCCCTCTCGCGAAACAGAAATGAGGGCCTCGGCCGACGGTACGTCCACACTCCCTTCCCAACCCCCACCAAGCTCACTTCGTAGCTTCACGATAGAAGCTAACACAACCTTCCCCCCGCCCTCCAGCGGCCTCAAACTTCGCAGACGCCTACTACGAAGCCCTCAACCGCCGCAAACAAGGCACCTCGCTCGAAAAATTCTACACAACAACCTGCTCCAAATACCCTACCCCGCCCGACATCTCCATCAACGGCGCCGTCCTCCCCGGCGGCCCCGACGAATACGCCGCCCTACTCGACACCCAGGGCGCCGACGTCCATCACGAGGTCGAATCCCTCGATGCCCACGTCGTCAACAGCGATTTCTCCCTGGGGTGCCCCGAGCACCTGCAGAAGGGCGACGAAAAGGGCGCCAAGTGCAGCATCATGGCGCAGGTCACGGGCAGGGTGCATTATGGGCGAGGGAGGGACGCGCCGGCCAAGACGTTCAACGAGGTGTTTGTGCTGGTGCCGAATTGGGATACGTTTGGGAAGAATCCGCCGAGGGGCGCGAGGCGGTGGTTGATTATGAGCCAGAACTTCCGCGCGCTATGAGAGGGGGTCATGAGTTGGGTTCTTTTGATTTGAAATGATAGCGAGATCGACGACGAGCGACACGACGTGTGGGCTGGGCTTTCTCCTTTACCACACATGAATAGAGGTGAGCCTTGCCTTGTCTCCTCTTTATTCGCCTACTGACTCGGATACAGAATGAAAAAGAGCCATTCAGAATGGAGTCGGTCTGGGAGAGCAATCAGAAGCCCGATGGGATATATAACAGTAGGCTCGACTTGAGGCGTCTGGGCATGATGAAAAAAGGGTGTCTCAATTCATAGAAACAGCAACGTTGATAGCAATGGAGAAGCTCACGCCCCAAGCTGCTGCTTGCGGTACTTCCAGTATCCCGCCCTCACAGGATCCCACTTGGCCGCCAATCGGTCCAGATACTTAGCCGCCTCCTCCTTCTGCCCCTTCTCCGCCAACACTTCGGCCAAGAAATCGAGCGCGTGGCTGCTGCGCACCTCCTCCTTACCCTCCTCCCCCTCCGCGCCAACGTTCTTGACAAATTGCCCCGCAAACGCCTCGGCCGTTTCGAGCTTGCGCCCGCCCTTGACCAGCACGCCGCGCAGGTAATTCCACGCCGCCTGATTCTGCGGGGCCAGCAGCGTCTTCTCCTCGACGTAACGAATCTCGCGATCGACCACGTCGGCGGGGACTTTCGGGTCGTGCTCCGTCGCGTGCGAACCCTCGGTAGACTTCGCCGGGTCGCTAAACACGAGGAAGAAGCGATGCGACCACGCCGAGTTGTTTCGCACATCCTCCTCGATCCAATTCTGCGTCGACAGCAGCTCCTGTAGATTCCACAGCCCCAGCTTGCGCACCAGATACTGCCGATAACTCCAGACGTGGTAGTTCTTGGTATCCTCCTCGAGCATGCGCGTCAGGAACTCCGTCTCGGACCGGCCGAAGCGCTTCACCTCGTCGGGCGTCGCCTTGATGCCCTCGTAGTAATGGTCCAGCAGCAGCTGGCGGTGGTGCCAGATCTGGTAGTTCTTGATGTGCTTGAGCGAGACCTCGTTGAGCCACTCGATCTCGTCGACGAGGGGGATCTCGAGCGCCTGGACGATCTTGAAGCGGTAGAGCCAGACAGTGTAGTGCGCCGGGTTCATGGAGATGACGTGCTCCGTCAGGCGGAGGGTTCGCGGGCTGTATTCTTCCGAGACCATGACGGCACGGAGGTAGCTCATGACTGTGGAGGAGACACGGTGTCAGTCTCTTGCCAACATTCTAGCAAGCTTGCAGACACCCAAATAGTGAAAGAGACAGAAATTGTGAATTATTTACCCTCGGCGTAGTCCTCCGGATAAGCAATCGTAGCCAGCGCGCCATCGGGCTCCTCAGCAGGAATCGGCACGACGTCGTCCCACTCCGGGTCCGTCGCGTACGGTCCCATCTTGTCGCCATAAAGCTCCCTCCTGATGGCCGACATCTCTCTCCGTCTCTGCGTCTCCTCCTGGATATCCTCGTTCGAAATCGCCTCGACGTTACCCGTGGCGGCGTCCGTGGTCCCGGCACTGGCAAACTCCCTCCGCTGAAGGAATCTCCTGTGCAAGATCTCGAGCGCGGTAAGTTGAGCCTGCTTGGCGGCGCGCGCGGCGAACTGCTCGAGAGGGTACTCGCCCACGTCGCGGCCGTTCTTGTCTTTCCCCCAGTCGTAGACGACGGCGCCCTTTTCCGTGGTCTTTTGCCGGTCGAGGCGGCGGATGGGCGGGCTCTCGCGGTTCACCTGCTTCCAGAACTCGCGCTCCGCCTTGTTGTTGAGGCAAATCTCCTTGCTCGCTACGCGGCGTACGAGGCTTGCGTTCACCCAAGCCTGTCGCTCCGCGGGGGTGAGGCTGTGCAGTCCGCCGGCCTCCTCTCGCTTTCGCTCGTGCGGGTTCGTCTGGTAGAAGCGGTGGAGGGAGCGCTCGTTGACCGTCTTTGGTGGTTCTTGGGTTTGGGCGGCGGTAGATGATGGTGTCTGCTTGCCTGTGTCGGGAGAGCTTAAGTCAGCACGCGGGAGGAGGAGGAGGAAAGCTCGGAACCAGAGGTAGTGAGCGACGAGCAGGGTCCAGAGGGAGGAGCTATATGATCCGATAAACAGGAATACGGCCGATGCCAACGTACTCTTGCTCTCAGCTTCCTTGGCTTTGGAGCTGACCTTTGATTTGGCGGGCATATCTGCGGTTGGCTTGGTTTATGGCGGGGTTGAGCTGGCAGCGAGATCAGACTGCCTTTGGGCTGTGGAAAATGCGCTCCAACGGCCGATACCCCACCACGGGAAGACGCCCCTGGATTTTTTGACACCTGTTTTCTCCCGAGACATATTCCAGTTGGAAAAAGTGTCGCCAGGTCTAAGACAATTGCAATTTTGGATGCATCTCGCATACAACGGTGTCAGTCAACCAAGCATTAATTTTAGCACCGCAAGGTGGACTTCTAAGCTCTCAGCGCCGATTAAAATAGATACATGAAGCCGCACCCAAAGTGTTCCCTTCTCCTCCTCATATTATCATGTCGTATGGCAAATAACCCAATGTGGCCAATAAATCTTCTCAGCCTTGCGCAATGGCACGGCTCTTTGGAAAAAAGTAGTGCAGAAGCAGATTGAAGCTTGTCGCATCCTCATCAATGGCTCTCGACGCGCCAGAACTTCCAGCCTTCTCGCTCGCCTACGCCCCCGTGGACACCCACCAGCTTCTCGACACCCTCGTTACCGTCGGCATTCAGGAAGCTCTCTTGGTCAATTTCCATGCCTCCGTCATTGTCTTCGTCCATTCCGTTCTTGAGGACTGCGGGCCAGAGCACGCCAACACCGTCACCGCCAAGGGTTGTCTCGAATTTCTCGTAGCCTTCGTCTTCCAGTTGAGATTCCAGCCGGTTAAGCTTGTCCTTGGGCACATCGGGCTTCAGCAGAGTGATGGAGCAACCGCCGCCGCCAGCGCCGGTCAGCTTCGTCCATCCAATGCCTTCGTGATCCACCAGTTCTCTTATCCGCTCGAGACGCGGGTGGGACACCCCCAACGAGACCAACAATCCGTGGTTGATAGTCATTAGCTCTCCCACCTTTCGTAGACTTTCTTCCTCCTCGTTGTCGAATGTTTCATTTCCAATCAGATTGTCTGCCGCAACGGTGACCTTGTCGATGGCGTCCAGGATGCTACCAACCAGCTCCGGATGCGTCTTCTTCAGCTTGCCGACCTTGGCCACTTCAAATGCCGTCGACTTTGCCTGCTTCGTGTCGACGAGAAGAAGAGGGAGCTCAGGGAAATCCCAGAGAGGTCGCACGGCCGGGGGTTTGCTGTAGTTTGTCCGCTGGAAGACCACTGCCTTGCCTTGAGTTGAAACGGTGTTGTCTACGCCTGAAGGATTACCGTGTATGCACATCTCGCAGACAAACGCCCACCGGTTGATTCTCTCCACTTGCAACCTAGCCTCGTCAGGGGGCTGATCTGGGTGTGGGCCCGACAACGTGCGCAGCTGCAGGAGAAGAGCCGCTGCCAGGCAGACGGCGATCGACGCACTGCTGCCCAGGCCAGCGCCGATGGGAATCGTTGATCGCAGAGTGTAGAGGCATCCCGTGAAAGACTGGTGGCCAAGCGACAGGAAGATGTACAAGAAAGCCGAGGCCGAGTTTTGGTGCACTTTTCGTACTTGATCAGACTTGTGTGGTGATATTTCTGCGAGGTTTGGTTGGATGGCTGCAACCAGGTGCGGGTCAAGTTCCGTCACCAGGTCGTAATAGGACTTCTTCTTTGAGGGGTGCTGGAAGGTGGCCCACGGCAGGTCGTCGATGTTCCATGTATGTTGCAGGTCGATATCTGGGAAACGGAGAGAGACTGTTCTCCTCGACTTGGAGAGGGAGGTGACGAGGAGGTATGATCGCAAGGAGATGGCAGCGGCGATTGCGGCCTGTTGGTCAGACGTGGGTCAGTCAGTACATGGCAAAATGATGCAGGGAAAAGGGGGTTTGGGCGCAAACGTACCTTGCCGTGGACAACAGCATGCTCTCCAAAAACGATGACTTTTCCTGGTGCAGAGACCATGAAGGCCGGCATCATGGGAGTTGACTGTTTGCGTTCCATTCTGAGACGATGCGCCAGGTTGCCGTTGCCATTCACATAGGCGGCGGGTGGTATGCCATTGATGGCAATGCTGTCAGCCCCGTTTCGCGTTTCTGGAGCAAAGACAGCCATGTGACGCGTTGCTGGGTGGTGCAAAATAGAGAGAAGCGAGGTATGCGAAAGGAGCAGAAAGAAGTTGTCGTTATCGAGTTGTTGTCAGAGAGCCGTACTAGGGGTAGCGCATAGCCCAACTGTCAGGGTCGTCTAAGGGTGCCGAATGGGTGGTGCTGTGAGGGGTCAATTGGTGGGTAGTAGCGGTAGCGGAGCGAATCGAGACAGTGGCAGCAAGATGGGTCGTGATAGAAGGCTTGACGAGGTGGGTGGGTGTTGGCGCAAGTGGTGGAGAGCGAGAGAGAGAGAGGGTGGTGAAGCAGAAAAAAGTTGTTGGGAGAGAGTGTGAGAGAAGAGAGGCGGAAGCGGAAACCGGTGACGATCAGCGGCGCGTGTGTGAGAGAAGAGAGACAGGAGGATGGATGGATGGATGCAGGACTCGAGGAGAAGGAGTGGTCTAGCTCGTTGGTAATACAGTAATCCAACGACTTTTACTAGAGGACGAGAGAATGGGACGCTGGATTCAGTTAGGCAATTTAGCTTTCCCAGGTTCCGGGGGGTGGTGGATGGGCAAGCCGCAAATTAGACAACGTGGTTGCGCAGCTGCTGGAGCTCGACAAGGACAAGCAAGGACAAGGAGACTGGAGACGGTCTCGACGGGTCACGGAGCGAGGAAGCTGGATCCGTCACTTCCAGACAGGAAACATGGGGAAAGACGATCACCAAAGGGGTAAGGGTAGACAAGGTAGCGTACCTATGGTACCTTACGGACTGATGCGAGGTGGATGGTAGGTACTTGGGAGGAATGGAACTGTATTATTCAAGACGGAAACTGGGGTGCTCCGGTAGAGTGCCTGGAGGAAACAGGCGTCCTTGGGTGCTCACAGTCTTCATAACGGACGGGAGAGACGGTAAGGTAAGGAAGGCATCGCAATTGAGACTTGATTTAGATGCCATGCGGGAGAACGGGGGTCCCAGTCCGGGGGTGGAATGTTTCCAGATCCCGTGGCGGTTGTCCAGCCACAAGAAAAACTTTTGGGAGCTCCAAGATGTACTCCGTAAGGTACCCAAGGTAGGTAGGTGTTCGATTGGAACTATGCTCATTGCTCATTGGGACAAATGGCAAATGCACCCTGCAGGTCTTGTTGGGACTTGGGACGAAACGCAGCTCCGGGAGAAGCACAATGATGTCCTCGAAACGCATTCGCTAGCCTCACAAAGTAGGTAAGGGCTATGCTGCTGTCTGGTGCGCGTGACGGTTATTGATGATGTTGCCTGTCATGTCATTACGCTTACTTGTCATCAATAATACAACTTGGGGTCCAACACTGGAACATAGCCAACACAAAGCCCTCGAATCGCCTGTACTTCGTACCTTGCTTTCTTGCGGCACCTCTCCTTGCCAACATGACAGCGGTGCTCCTCCATTGGCTCGCTCTCCCTTCTGGCCCCTGATGACTGATTATGTTCCCGGCCTGGTGGGCAGTTTCCCGGCAAGCACCCGATTGCCTTGACAGGGGTTGCTGCAGGTGCAATCCGTGGGACCGTGGAAGGAGGGCGGCCATCGAAGGCGACCTGCTTCTTGCCTTGGGTACTCCGTAGTTCTGTGGTACTTGTGGTACTTGGAACATGGCAGGCAGCATTGGGAAAAGTACCTTCCATCACCTGCACAGCCCTGATGGTGGGGGGCATGACTTGAACACACCAAGTTGCCCAAGTTGGGGAACAGGCGCTTTTGACAGCGCCACATCCAACGCCCAGCTCCTCGAGATTGACGTTTCGAATGCAAAGCTGACAGCTTGGAGCTCTCGAGCTGATACCTAACCAGTTCTAAACAGCAGATCAATCGATCGTTCTTTCAAGGCTTCGATTTGATGCTGACCGGCTGCATGGTACTTCTACTACCCGTATACGTATGCCCTCACGGCCCTCCATCAGAATGGAAGCGATCTGCAGCAACAAGCCTCGCGGCTCAATACCAGCAGCCTTCAATAGCAGCTTTGGTCACGCAAACACCACACCACAACCAAATCAGGCTTGTAAGCAACAACTATGGACGCCTCCAAGCTACAATTGAGAAGCTGTGAGTTGCGGCACGGCTTCGAGCTTACGACTACTGGACAGTCAAGAAATGCCAGAAATCTGGTACGCCTATCCGTACGAACGTATGGCGACTCCTAGATCGCCAACCATGTCGTCAGTGTTGAGATCGAGCGTTGTTTCGTCTGATGCCTTTATTCGTTCGTGGTAGGGGCTGTGGTAGCACTGATCTGCTCCAAGGGCGTCCGCCTAGGCAGTTCACCCCAGCCATGAGCCTCTGGCCAACGTGGGCAGTCCGATGCGACCAACACCACCGATCACGGACTCGATATGCATTCACCCAACCAACCAATAACCGCGAGATTGCATCGTGGATGACAAAGGGAAAGAACCGAGACTCGAGGCGGTGAGACATCGCAGCAGTCACAATGTCAGAGGAAAGGGAGGACAGCCGCAAAGGGATACGAATACCCGCATAGAGTCTCCTCCTGTCTCTCCATTTCGTGACACCTTCACCGTTTGACAGCTCCGTGTCTCGGATCAAGAAGAGTTGCATCGCCGCATCATAACGGAAAGACTTAGATCAATTTGTCTCGATGCCCAGCCTGCATTATTCGGAGCTCTCGTGAGGCTCATTGAGAATGTAGTGGCCGTGCTCTGGACCGTTTTCCGCAAACTCCAACCATTGCCGGCAGGCAATTATGACCAGCGGCACAGCACAGGTTGCGCCGTTGCGGAACCCACGAACACGAAGGTTGGCTTATCGATACCTTGCCGTTAGATCCCTCGCCGGGCGTGCCGGGGAGCTTTCAGCTTGACGACCGAGGCGCAGACTGCGCAGTGCATTTGCGGGTCTTTCTCCTCACCTGAGGAGACTGTCGATCGCCGAGCACGATAGCCAGAAACAAGCAAACGCTTGGCAGGAACAGAAATCGGTGATGAGTCTCGTTGAGCTCTCGTCTCGCCTGTGCTTCAAGCGCACAATCTCAATCACACCGGCGGCTATCTACGTGTACGAGAACATCTGCCAAGGAGTTCCACAGATGCAAATGACTTCGCAAAACATAGAGCATCGTCAAGAACATCGTTCTCAAGTTCATGAACAGCTTCCATCTGCAATCCGTATCTACAATATCTCAGAGATGACTAACTGAGAATGGACAAATTCAATACACTTGAGTCAATCTAGGTGGAATATCCTCAGCAAGCCATGAAATGCCGACTTAGCCAGTGCCTGACTCCATCAACATGCCATGGGAGCCGACGTCTTCGTATTGCGACTTGGCTCAAGCAACGGCTTGCAACCTTGCGTAAAGCTATCAAAGACTTCGAACCTCGAACTGCTAAGCAACGTGCGAAAGTAAAATCTCCAGAAGTATCGCATTACTGCAACGGCGGGGTAATCGTCCAGCCAAATCGCAGCATTGAGGGGAAGGTCAAGCTTGCTTTGCCTCTTCAGACGGAAGAACAATGCATATCAGCTTTAGGCTGTCACACAATTGAGCCTATCACCAAGCTACTGGCTCCTGCACTAACTTAGGACCGTCGCGTCTGTGCCGCTACTCGCCGGGCGTCAGCGTCACTCATCCTGCATCGATATCGTCCTGTAGCCTTGCTGCCCCGCCATGTGGACTTCGCACTCCGTTATCTCCCAGGATGCCCCGATCCTGACTTGAGCGAATAGAAAACACAAAGACGTGAGCAAGGCCTAATTTTCTTCCCGAGACATCATCTGAAGCAGAGAGACGTCTTCCCCTGTATCATTGTATTCAGAGCTCCAAAGTATCCTTGTACTATCCCCCGGCCCGCACCGAACCCCGCGCGAAGAGCTTCCCGCTAGCCCCGCGAGCCCCGGAATTGCCGTCTTCAACTCGATACCTCGATCTACAGAAGAAACCATATCCTCTCTCTCGTCGTTACAGTCCAGAAATATCGCAACGATGGCCGTGACGGAGCTCGCCCTTCTCCAATTCAAGGAGCCTCTCACCGAGGAGGTCAAGGAGCTCATGGACTACTGCCAAACCGTTCAGGACACCTGGGTTCTGCGCCAGAAGCCCGGTCTGCCGCCAACCCGGATAGAGCGCGGAACCGCCATCCTCCAGCAAGTCGAGGACCCGGCCGTTATACTCCTGGCGGCGCAGTGGGATTCTCCGCAGGCGCATGGGGAGTGGATCGCTTCACCCGAGAACCAAAACGTCATGGCCAAGCTCATGCCGCACATTCACATCGAGGGCCCGCGGAGCGTGCTGTTTTTCCACATTGACGCACCCATCTTTGCGAAGCCCACATCATCGCCCTCAGAGACGAAGGACGGGGCTGAGGGAGCAGAGGCGGATTCCGAGGACAAGAAGCCGGAAGCGCCGGCAGCCGAGGAAGAGAGCAAAGCAGAGGGCAAGAAGAAGGCGCAAGACGAGCCGCCATCTCTCCTGACGGCGCCGGTGCTCAGCGTCGGGCGGTTCGGGGTGAAGTCGGAGAAGAAGGAGGAGTTTGTCAAGAAATACGCCGAGGCCAAGTGGGTTGTCGAGGAGTCGTCGAAGCCGTTCCCCGTCCGCGGCGGTTGGCGGATCGAAAAGGCCGCCGAGGAGCTCGAGGAGTATATCATGTACTGCGGCTGGGAGACGGTGGAACAACACAAGGCGATTGCGGAGCACGAGGGGTTCAAGGAGTGGGCTGGCATTCAGGAGTTTGTGACGGGAACGGACATTTGGCACTACAAGCGGCTCATGTGAGGTATCTGTGATGTTACACATGTCGATAAACCAGAGACGCGAAGCCTTTGGCGTTTAGATGGTAGATGGCCTCCAAGGGTGTTACTGGTACTGTCTGGTCTGCTAGAGAGGATTATAGCCGTCAGGGAAAGAAAGGAGCACGAGTGGTGGCAGTTCTTTGTGTTGTTGTGTTCAATGGTTTCTTCGTTGGCGGGAAATGTCTGACTAGCAACGAAAAGTTGACAAAGTCTCCATTTCATCTCGCAAATTTGCCTAGGTGATATTCCTCGACGCCATGTATGTGGTGACGCAGGTCGTCTCTCCCATTCCGAACCATTCAAGGTACAGGAAGGAGAAAAACAAAGCACTGCGCTTCACAATCTCCTTTCCCCAATAGACCGACCGGCCAGTAGCCCCACGAAAAACAGAACCCAGGGTTGGAAACAACAAGTCTCATTCCATTGACCTCATGACAGGCTACTCATGCTTTTATAATCCCATCGAAGCTACGTTTTTTTGACGATTTTTGTTCGAAACGTTTACGGGAATCCCTTATGCGGAGGACTTGCCCTTGGGGTTCTTCTTGGGGACGTCCTTGATCTGGAGCTCTGTAGGCGGGGAATTGTGGTTAGAATTGGTTTCCTCAACTCGTTAAATCGCCCGGGCTGCAATTTCTCCGTTCCATCCTCGGCGCACAAGGACGCTGATTTTGCGGGGGAGGAGACTGCGCCCAAGTGAAAGGGGCGGTGGAAGAGTAAGGGGTTTGATAACGTACGAGGGGGAAGGGACTGCTTGAGCTTCTCGGCCTTGTCGGAGTCCTTGAGGACGAGGGTGTAGAGGTGGCGCTGGCAGCGGACCTTGAACTTGATCTGGGAGTTCTTGGTGCTCTTCTTGATGCGAGCGGCTATAATTCAGACACAATGTTAGACATGCGGTCCTTTTTCTATCAATTCGCTCCCTAGCCAAGACGGCCTCGAAAATTCCAAGTTGTCCTCGTGTTGTAGAAATCGCATCGAGGCTTCGTCGGATGTGGTCATGGTAACGGTTTAGAAAGGGATTGTAGGTTGAGCATACAGGAAGCGTCCTTTCTCCGGGCAATCTCAATGAACTACAGAAACAGCAAACGTTAGTCAATTTTCTCCGCAAGAAATTTCCAAGCAGCAGTTCAGCGCCTCCAGAAATCATAGCGACGTACCTGCTTGATATCACCGATTTCGCGAGGCATCTTGGCGGTATTTTTCGGGGGGGGTTGGCGACAACGAAGGAGGGGGTCTTGTCTGGTCGGATTGAGTGGTTGCTGTCGTGAGACTTTCGTGGGCTCTTTTTCGATGGAAAATTGATTTTGTGGGATGGACCCCTGTGGCAGCGAAACGCACGGGCCAGCTCTAGTACTCGGCCGGGGGGACTCGACAATTCCCATGCATGCACATTGCGAGGTTCCGACCTTATCTTATCGGGGCGGGCTGAGGACTTGGATCCCCGTCGGGGGACTTGTCACCGAGCACACCGAGGAGCGGAGTCGGGTCCCGTGAATTCCCAGGTTCCCTTTCCCCCCGTGCCAAGTGCCCAGTGCCCACAGCCACAGGCAGCACCAGCACTTTCGGATGGGACGTCACTGTGGCACGCGTCACACCACACCCGAAGCTCTCGGGGTAGACGTGGCGCTGGACCCAAACCTGACCCTCGGCCTGTACCTACCTTGGCATGGGTTGACGACGCTTCAACTCAATCCAGTCTCTAAACGAACACGTCGCATAACACGTTGCTCGAAGGGGTTTATTTGCTATCTCTCCCCGAATCACTATATATATGGCGCGTTGTTAGCCAAATAAGAAAACCTGAGGCTCTAGCTTTCTGCTGTACAAGACACATTGTCATTGCACCGCCACATCTAGACACGATGCCTACACCACTTGACAATGCCATGAGATCCAGGGTCCGTATTTCTCACTGTGACTTCATTTGATTACCCTGCTAACATTTCGACAGAATGCGGTACTCGGTGTGTCCTCGTACAACAGCCTTCAGCGACAGAACTGATCGCTAACCATCACCAGCATTCGGTGGCTTAGTCACAGCCGTAGCTGTCTGGGCCATCTACGGCGGCGACATGTTTCCCGCCGGGGCGGATCCCACAGGCAACCCGGAAGATTGGACCAGAGAGGAGATGAGGAGATGGCTCGCGGCGGTATTTGCAGCTCTGTTCTCCGTCTCAGTCATTGTTTACTTACATGTATCATAGCGAAACTTGTTTCCGCAGGAGAACGACACGAGAGAGGAGCTCCTGGCACGAGTTTTGGCCAACATGAGAGCTCCGAGACGGTGAGCCCTCAATTTGGCTCTATTGGAGGGCAAGTCTAGCTTTGCTTAAAACGATTTATTCCATTTGCTTCCTTGACTGAGTAGCCACCATCCCGTTCATTGGGTGACCTGGTAATAATACAAAGATATCTGCGGAATGTGAACCCCGGTGATGCTTGTGAAAGAAGCAAGCACTCTATACATTCAACCCCCTTTACAACTCGTCTCTTCCAGAGGTCTTGCCGACGGTGGGCTCCTCTGAAGTGACCTTGCCCGTAGACTTCCAGTTGAGCGCGTTGAGGCGCTCCGACAGGTGCGGGTGAGAGAAGTGGTAGGTCGCGTACATCCAGTCGGCGTCCATGGAGCTGAGGTTCTGGATCTGGAGCTTGAGGAGGGATCTAGCCAGCTCAGCCGAGTATCCGAGCTTCTGGGCAAAAGCGTCGGCCTGGAACTCGTACTTGCGGCTCAGGATGTTCATGAGCAGCTTGACAACGGTATCCATGGGGGAGAGCGCATCGGAGAAGAGGATGAAGCCGATGATGATGGGGTGCTCCGTGAGGAAACCAAAGTCGGCGTACAGGGAGTTGTTGCTGATGAGAACGGAGAAGAGGGCAAAGATGTAGAGGAAGTGGGCCTGCCCCAAAGTTAGTGAAGGACAGCGAGCCGATTAACTGCAAATACATACCTGGGAGATGCCAAAGAGGCGCGTGGTGTGGCCGAGACTCCAGTGGCCAAGCTCATGGGCCAGAACGGCAACAACCTCCTGGGTCTCGCTCTTCTCAATGAGGGTATCGTAGATGACAATGTGCTTCTTCCAGGGAAGACCGAAGAAGTAGGCGTTGCTGTGGGCGCTGCGCTTGCTTCCGTCAATCACATAGAGCTCGTGGAGGGGGAAGTTCAGGCTCTTGGCAAGGCTCTCGACGCCGTTCTTCAACTCGCCCTCTTCCAAAGGCGACAGCTTGTTGAACAGGGGGAGGATGGCAACCGGGTAGATGGTGATCATGAAGACTTGGAGACCAGCGGCGAAAGCCCAGAGGTAGAAGAAGAACTGGTTGCCTGTCTTCTTAACAATGGAGAGGAAACCGGCGAGGATCGGGGGAGCGATGACGAAGGCGAGGAGCTGGGACTTGATCATGTCGGTAATGAAGAGCTTGGGCGTCTGCTTGTTGAAGCCAAACTTCTCCTCCAGCACGAAGGTCTGGTAGATGGAGCTGGGCAGCGAGAGGACCTGCTGGATCATGATGAAGGCGAGGACGAAGACGATGGACTGGGATATCTCGCCGGAGAAGCGCCCCGGCGCGAACTTCAGTAGCAGGTTACCGGACCATGACCAGAGCTTGGGAAGGACGTCGAATTGAATAAAGGCAATATTCTGGATCTGACCCCAGAGACCGCTGATGAAACCGAATTCCGCTTTGGCGCGACCGTAGGCTTGAGACTTATCGAAAACTTCCTGGGAGACTTCCTGTTCGAGGACCTTAGGGGGCTTGGTGTTTTTGAGGACTTGGTACTGGCGGAGGGAGAGGAAGCTCTCAAAGACGAACTGGCCGACCGAGAAGCCGAGGATGAGACGCTTCCACGGGAAGAGAGGTCGGTCCAAGAACCGCGCAAGGCGTTGAAGGAAATCCATTTTGGCCTCTCTTTGCTTTTCTTCGGATTCCGGAGGGGTTGCAAAGGAGGGACAAGAATGGGAGAGATATTGGGGTTGTAGACGGAAGGAAAGAATAGCAGGGCCAGGCTCCGGACCTTGTCGCAAGCCGGGTCTGACAGCTTGGGTACGGAGTATTGTTAGCTCAGGCAAGCTGTCCACAGTGAGCCGGCGAATGGAACCAAGTGGGGGCGGGCAGGTTGCGGTTCGGGGCTTGCGGCTGCCGGCAGGGACGATCATTGGCTGCGAGGACTCCAGCTTACCCCAACTTTAATTGGCTGAAACACCCGCCTCATGCAATGTCTTGCGTGCAGACGAAAGCCCCGTCCGAACGGTGGAACCCCGTTTGATGCATGAGCGACGGGAACTGCCGTTCGATTGCAGGAAAGTCTTCCCGCAAAATCTCGAAGCTGGTGATAGTGACACTTCGAGCTCCACGCCGCTCGAACGACCACCGCATAATTGTCGCCAAGATGATGCGCCAGTCCATCACAAGCCTGGCGAGGAGCTTCCTTGCCCGCCCGGCCACTCAGCCGGTGCGCGTCGTCGCTCAATTGACATCACAAAGGTGCGCCATAACCCCCTTAGGAGTAGTAGTGCAAACAGCAGCTAACCGGCACCATAGGACGTTCTCCTCCTTCCCCTCGCTGCGTCCGTCCATCACACCTCTCACATCCGCCTTCCGCCGGCCGAATGCTGCGCCGTTCACTCCCTCGACCGCCGACGGCGCCATCGCCGACTTGGTCCCCACGAGCGCCATCTCGGAGCACCCTGCCCTCGGCGCCATGCAGCTCCGCTGCGGTCCTCGCAACACCATGAACCGTAACACCCGCCTGATCCAGAAGCGCAGACACGGCTTCGTCTCCCGCATGAAGACCAAGGACGGACGCAAGATCATTGCACGGAGGCGCCAGAAGGGCCGCACAAAGCTCGGCGTTTGAATGGAGCGTGGGAGGGTTGAGCTACGAGAACCGTCGAAGGGAAAAATGCCATCGCTACGGATACGGAGAGAAGGACCCAATCGTCTCAGGAAAAGCCTCATCGAATGTTTCGCCAGTATGGTGATTGGCGTGCTCCAAGTCGGGCTAAAGAAAGACTCAGACGTTAGGACCTCCAAGTGAGGTAGTGTTCAATATGTATCAATAAGAAGCCAATGTACAACAACTCAATCAGCAGGGTCCAGGAGTTGTGGTTGATCTTTGAACTCTGCGGAAGCAGCCAGCAGGGCCTGATGAGGTTGCTCGCTGACATTCCCGGCATTAAACAGATCTGCTACGTGCACCCGAGACTTCAGTCTGAAGAGGCAAAAGTCTACGAAGCTTAGTTACGGCAGTGGTTCTCAATGCATAGGGCAATAAGCTTGTGTTCCTGACGAGACGCCATCAATCGTGCGCCATCGGTCAAGGCGAACGTTTAGCTCACAGAAGCAGTAAATGTGCACATTTGTGGCGGGGCATTCTGTTCGGTCCGTACCTTCCAACGAAACCGGTCAGTTCCACGACTTCACAGAGTCTGTTGAGAGCCAACGTGGTAACGTGCCTCTTCCACCACACCCATGCCGAGATCCGAAGGGCAAAAGAGTGTGAGCAGTGAAGCCGGCGCTACTCCGGTTCCGGCCCCGAAGCAAACCGGCCTTGTTACTCAGCACGGCCGGCTACTGACACTGTTTCCATCACCTCCATATTTCATGCCATCAAACTTGCTGAGCCCTTATCGAATGGGATTTTGTCCGCATACCTTAGTCTTTGGGAATATAGAGTGAAAAGAAACATTATCTTGATCGACGCGAATGTCACATGATTCGACGCGTTCAGGAATGGGAGGTCCACGGAGTTGATCAACGTTTCGTCATACTCAGGGAAGCTCAAATGCGTTCTGCGCGCGGCGGGATGAAAAAGCAATGCACTCATAGCTTGAGCAACTTGTTTGACTTTCGATAGTGACATCGGTAGCTCGAACCCCACATCAGTTTAACGGTTCTTAAAACGTAGCTCCCGTTCACCTTTATCCTAGGTGGCTGTAGCAGAAGCTCCTCTTTCGCTTTCATTTCCTGGTGAAGTAGCTTATCCCTGTCGGGCTCACTTACACCCATCCGTACCACATAATCAAAATCAAAAGACACAACAATGCCGCCTAAGAGACGCTCAACCGGAGCCGCGTCCGGCGCCAATGAGAAGGCCAAGCCTACTGCTCCCGAGGCCGAGACATCTTCACCTACACCTGCACCCGCAGCTGCCGATGACGATCGCGGTAAGAACCGGTGGCCTGCCAAGAACACCCGCTGATCAACCGTCTCTGCGTCACGTAACGCCGACGAGGACTACAAGAAGGCCTGCGAAGAGGGTCGCCTATGCCTTTGAGTATATACCTCGGTGTCCCTTTGGCACCAGGCACGGCGATGACAACGAGGATGACGAGGACGCGGAGAGGACGAGGAAGAGGAAGAGGAAGAAGAAGACCCCCAACCCAAAGGCAAGGGCAAGTCCAAGTCCAAATCAGCCGACAAGAACACCAACAAGAAGAAGACCAACGCCAAAGACAAAGACAACTCCAAAGACCTCGCCATCATCGAGCTCGAGAAGCAAAAGCACAAACAGAAATGCGACAGCGGCAAGACGTGCCTCTGCACCAAGCCCGCGGCTGAGCACCCGGACGCGCCCTACGTGATCACAAAGGCGGGCTTCCACAAGCTCATGAACAAGCAGGTCGACTGCCAGCTCCGCGACCCGGACAGCTTCCTCATGTACACGTCCAACGACGACATGGTCTACGGCGTGCTGCAGGTCCTGCAGAACCTCGTGCACGACTACGAGGAGGCCAAGAGCAACTGGCGGGAGCAGTGGGTTATCTGCGAGGCGATTTGCCCGTTGATTTGGTACCTTAATGGTGATGACTTCGCCATGTAAGTTACTACGGCCAAATCCCTTTGAGAACAACGAATCACTCACACACTTGTGTCAGGGCCGACGACAGCGAGTTCGTCGACGAAACAGTAAAACTCATCGGCAACCTCTTCCTCGCAACCCTCGCCCCGGACTCGGAAGTGCAGGACCTTGGCTGCGTCATGGCCGGCATGCCCAAGACTGCCTCCGCCTTCCGCGGCTTCGACCTCTTACAAGACGAGACGGTTCACAAAAAGTCCAAGAAGCGTCCTTTAGCCTTCACATCCGAGAATTTTGACAGCTACGTCGCCTCGTACGCAAAGAAGCACGGCATCACCCTCAAGGATATCCCCGGGCTCCAGGCCCTCGTCAAGGACGTCAATGACGAGGACGAGCTGCCCAATGCCGGGGACCACGGCGAGGACCCTTTGGGGTGGGCGGATGCGCTGGTGTCGTATAAGAAGGGGAGGAAGATTGGCGGGGATGATTTGAATATTACGTCGTGGACGCTTGCGGAAAGGAATCAACATGCTTTTAGTAAGAAGGATCTGTTGGGCAAGAAGGAGATTGATGCGATCAAGAATGGTATGGTTATGATGCTGGGCTGAGAATCGGGTCTGACGTTGGTGTTGGATCGGGTATTGATCTGGGAGCTGCTTTTGTGACTGTAGTCGTGAGAGATACCACTCTGTATTATTGGACTGAGACTACCGTGTTCAAGTCCCGAAAAGTTGGATATTCAACAGTCCCTTTTGACACCGTTCTTTCTACAGGATGTTCGAGCTTGACGTTCTATTCGCTACCGGTTGACAACTATCAAACGCCCCTTACACATTAATAGGTTGAAGGAGAGTTCAGAAGAATAACTAAACACAAGAAAAATCAAACAGGACTAGCCAGTCCAGCCTCACACATCTTGGTATCCGTATAACAAGCCAAAAACAACTTGTCACTCGCCTCTCCGATCCAAATCTTATACCTCCCAGTGGGATTCGGCACGATCCAGTTCTGGCTAACCACATCCCACACACTCAGATCCCGCCTCGTCAGCTGCAGCGTCACGGTGGAACTCTCCCCCGGCGCCAAATTCTTCGTCTTGGCAAAGTCGCGCAGCTGAATCACCGGCGTCTCGGGTCCGCCACTGGGGAACTGCACGTACGCCTGCGCGGACGCTTTACCCGAGTACTTGGAACCCGTGTTAGTCACCTTCACCGACACGGAAAAGACAACGTCAAAGAGGGCAGGGTTGCCGCCCTGGGCGCCGCCGGCGGCGGGCCCAGGCTTCTGCGCCGTGCTGTAGCCCTCTGGATACGGGTACGTCTCCGTCTTGGAGGCGGCTACGGCGTCCTTGGCCTCGGACTCGGTGCACCAGGAGTAAATGTACCGGAAGATCTTGTTGAAGCCGGAGGGCGCGACGCCCTCGGTCCAGTCGGGGATAGGCGCGGTGTAAGTCAAGATGCCCGACTTCGCGGGGCGGGCCGGCGGAGTTGCGCTGAGCGCCGTGGCGGAGCTGATGGTTGCGCCAGTGTAGGTGAAGGCGGTGTAGCTCAGCCCATGGCCGAAGGCGAAGCGCGGCTTGATGCCGTTCTTGTTGAGGTAGCGGTAGTCGATGTACAGGCCCTCGGAGAAGGTGTCCTGGGGCTGGCCGAGGGAGCCGCCGACGAGCTGGGTCACGGAGTCTGGGAGGTCGGATTCCTTCTTGGTCATGCTGTAGGGGAGGTGGCCGGAGGGGGAGGCCGCGCCAAAAACGATGTTGGCGAGGGATTCGCCTGCTTCCTGGCCGGGGAGATGGGCGACCAGGACTGACTTGACGCTGGGGAGGTCGATCCACGAGTCGACGACGATTGGTCCTACAGAGTGTATGACGACCACGACATTGGAATACTTTGCGGCGGCGTCCTGGACCAGCTTGTTGCCGTTATGCCAGGCGTCGAGACCAGACGAACTGCGGTCACCGTTGTTGCCTTCCACGACATACTGATTCTCTCCAGAGTCCGAGGTAATGAAGACAAGCGCAACATCGTCCGCGGTCGGAGCCGGCACTGAGGGGAAAGAATCGGTGTTGTAAAACGTGACGTTGCTGGCCCTCTTCTTGAACGCGGTGATGGGATCGTCAAGGTAGACATAGTCGACCGTCCCCGAGCCCCAGCCAATGCCGAGCAGACCCTTATTACATGAGCGATCGGCACAAGCGTTGGGACCGTCTGGGTTCGTTATCGCGTCGGTGCCAAAGACCTTGATCGACGCCGAGGTGGCAATGGGCAAGAGGCTGCCGTTGTTCTTGAGCAGGGTGATGGCCTCCTGCGCGACCTGCCTGGCGACGAGGTAGTGGTCCTCCTGTACTTGAACCATCTCGTTGACGACGCCGCTTGGGGAGAAGGGGAAGGCTCCCGGATAGAGATCTCCCACCCTGTTGCGAGTTCCCGTGGCAAAGTTGAGCGCGGGGAAGCCCTGGTCCTGTCCCATCTGGTACCAGCTCGCCAGGACTCTGGTGGCCATGTCGTTGATGCGGTCCACGGGGACGGATCCGTTCAGAACAGCTCTGGTGAGGTCGTACATCCAGTAGCTGTAGCCCGTCAGGGGAACTTGCTGGTCGCCTGGGGCGTTGAAGTCGAGACCCGCGAGGGCCGAGCCTACACCGGACATGTGTGACAGCCAGTCGCTCATGACGAAGCCTTGGAAGCCGAGCTCGTCTTTCAGAATACCATTGATGAGGTAGCTGTTCTGGCTGCATGCCGAACCGTTGACCTAGTTTCCGTCAGCAGAAGTCTCAAAGATGTATACAAAACACATACCGCATTGTAGGCTGTCATCACGGACCCTACGCCTGCATGCACACCATCCGCAAAGGGCCATAGGTACAGCTCATGTAGAGTTCGGTCATCTATTGTTGTTAGTCGACGAACCAAACACCGCTTCACTCTGAATCGACAACGTACCAATGTTGGAGCTGTAGCCCTGCTGCAGAGGGTTGTACATGCGATACATCTCCTGCTCGTTGCCAATGAGATGCTTGATCGTGGCAATGACACCCTGCTCCTGAACGCCCTTGATTGTCAGAGCAGCAGCCTTTCCCTGCAGCGCAGGATCAGCCCCGAAGCCCTCCCAGTTTCGGCCACCACGGGGTTTTCGACTGGTCGTATGGTCAGCGTTTCCATGGTCGATCTGATTACATCAAACATACCCAATAGGACCCACGCTCGGTCCCAGGTAGACGTTGGCGCCTTTGCCTCGGAACTCCTTGCCTATGGCAACACCACGAGCGTACATCAAATCCTTGTCAAAGGTGGCGCCGGTCGTGATGCCGGACGGGAACACTGTCACGTTATCGGCTTGACGGAGACCGGTTGCCGAGTCTGCGAGGCATAGCTGGGGGAAACCGACACGGAGAGCGCTGCCAGAGTTTCCAACGCAGCGGCTTGGGTATAGTTAGCAGGAGTTGTTTGTGTTGTCAGTGATGAACGCACCCTAGGCATGTTAGTTGAACGAGTTCTACGACATCGCTCACGAAGTTACTCAAGACTCACCCATGAAGATGCCAGTTCCGGATGTGATGTTGGTCTTTTCAGCCAAAGTCATCTTATCGACTACAGCTTTCGCCCTCCTATAACTGTCTGTCCAATCCGATGCCCAGCCGCCGTATGGCGCTGGGTAGTAGGGCGCGGCCACATACCCGGCAGGCACATCGGATCTCACTGAAATCACGGCGGCATCGCAGGACGAGATCTGACTTGCGAGGAGGGCTACGGCCAAGGACTTGACAGAGAATGTGTTTGCCATGGTGGCGGTCGATTGGTCTCGTTACCACAAGGCTCTTACAGGCTAGACTCGAACCAATGGTGTAGGTCACGAGAGAGAGCTACGTCAACACAAGCGGACGGACAAGAGCTACAGCAATCGGGGCATCGCGAGCACCACCATTAACTTATATACTACACACGGGACATACAAGCTACAAGCGAACCGGTAGCTCTCGCTTCTCATTATGACTATACATTCCAATCACGGGCCCTTAAAGTCCGCGTGTTATAGAAGGCAAGTGACAACAGACGATCCGCTTGGCAGTTCCGTGGACTCTACTGACCGCAGGGATATGCAGCCATACCTGACAGCTCATGATGTCCTGATAGCTACCGGAAGGGTCCAAGAGCATTAGAAAAGAGCACATATTGCAACGTATCAAGGTTATGGGATGCTCCCTTTGGGCAGCTGTGCTGGATTGTTTGGGCCTATGCTTGTCAAATATGAGTGTTAAAGTGGTCGATCGACATGTCGCGTAGACAAAGTATGGTTTGATACGACAGCGCCAGCGATAAGTCAGTGGAGAGCGGGGAAAATGCCACCCTTTTCGAGATTCTGTGTTGTAGTCTTGTGGTACAAAGGATCGATTCGGTGTCGAACCGGATTAGCGGCCGAAACCGCCTCGCTTCGGGCGGGAGTTGGTAGGTGGGAACCTTTGATTTGGAGTTAAGCGACGGCATTCGCAAGTCCCCGGGGAACAATGACAGTTCTGAGTCGGGCTTTCTGCGAGGGCGTCGACTCCGGTTGAGAGGAGCGGTGGATATGACAAGATTAAGCCGTGAAGAAGACCCACGCTCGAGGCCCAAAGGGTCTACAAGACGGCGATAATGACCGTAAATGTCGACATGGCCGATCAAAGGTGACATGCGAAATGGATGTGAAGATCTCCCTTGTTACGTGCAGGGTGGGCGCTTGGTGGAAATGCCTGGCGAGCTGTGAGCGGTCAGCAAACTGTATAAAAAGAACAACAGAAAAACACTGCTCATCCGGGTTCGGCTCCGACGCGGGGAGAGAGCTGTCAGATTGTGGCCGGGCGTTACATTGCGCGCGTGGTTCACTGGCAGGCCACAGATGTCTATTTCCTTGAATAAGTGCATATGCAGCAGGCAAATGGGTGTGTGGCATCGGAGTGGTGGTACAAGACCGACCTCGTGATACCCCAAGAGGTCTCTGCTTGGGTATGCCACGTCCACCAGATCGAGTCTAGGGCAGTGTTGAGATTAGGAAACTCGCAAGCGAAGAGCACCAGGCGGTCGGAAATCCCAAACTCGGTCCAGCGGCGAAGATCAAGGAGCAGGGGTCAGGGATGCTGGAGCGCAGATTTCGGCTCTTGTTCTGCACGGAAAACGGGAATCGATCAAAAGGCAAGGTCTGTGGAAGCGGCACGGCATGAACGGCAAGCTTGGGGAGAAGAAGGTCAAATATCGGTTCGAGAGATGGTGCATTGATAGCTGAATGAGATGTGTGGTAGTGTCCGATATGTCGTAGCTGATGGCTGCAACATCGCCGGGTGGTCAACTGGTCGTGAGGGGGAGGCATCGAGGTTGTATTGGCCCAAGAGACCAAGAGACCAAGTACGTGGTGGAGGGCGACGAAGAGGTCTCGTGGGCGCGGATTCCGGATGACAGCCTTTCTTTCTAGAATGTCTCAACCCCGCGTTGCTAGGCCGACATCTGATCATCAGGTACGGGTGGCCCGGTGGGAAGAAGGGACGAATCGACGATGAGTGGAGGAGAGGACGGAGGATGGAAGAATCAAGGATAGAGGTTGACCGTTGACCGTTGGAGGTGTGGGCGGGTGGATGAAGGAGGAAGAGTCTACGGAGTAGAGAAGCTGGGAAGGACGGCATGAAGCTACCGCACACCTAGAGACAAGAAGGAAGCTGCGAGATTCAGCTCCCAAGACGCGGCAGGAAGCAGCATGACATAACGCTGCCGCCGACCCTAACTCTCCAAGCATTTCATCCCACCTTCATCATCCTCTACTGCAAACTAGTGGCTTTGGTGTTGCATCTGCCATCCATCTCAGCTGCATCTTCCCGTCTTTAATCACATCCACATGCTTTTTTCCTTTGCAAATACTTTGTCAATAGTCTATAGTGTACTTCAATGCCGACAACTTCGGGTGTTGATGCTCTTGGAAGTTGGAACTTGTTCTGCCTGTCCGACCTCCATACTCGATTGGGAGAAACGGACCGTGGTACGGGAGTATTCGTCCGCGTGATGCCTCGAGAGCGGCTCTCCAGCATCGAGGGCCGCGTATCACGACGCGAGAACCCAAATTTCGATCCGATTTTTCGTATCTTGGCTCTTTGACTTACGACTCCTCAAGACTAATTGGAAAAATCAAACTCGCACAAGACCATATTGACAGCATTTTGTTGAGCTCTTGCGGGCCTCGTCCAGGGACTCGCCCGGGGGCCGGCGGGATTCTTCCAACAATCGGCCGACCGCAATTGACCACCAGTTCGTTCGGACAAGGACCATTCGGCCAGCTTCATTAACAACTTCTTCCGATGCGGACGCTATTGTTTCGACAGAGCCCAACAGAAGTGGGAATTGCCCAGCTTCACCCCGGCTCGTCGCCGTTCAGGAACCATCCACTCAGTCGCCCTCGTTCAATGAGCGGCAAGCCCACTATGGAGATGCTTGGCTCACGTGGCGCCAAATGACACCCCAGGATCTCAGAAGTATTGAGCAGAAACTCTCATTGCTTGTCTCCCGCCTTTCAGTCCTTACACACCAGTGACCATCGACACCACTCAAGGATCGAGATGTCTTTGTCTCTCTGTCTGACCGCACGGGCGCTTCCCTACCACCTTGACGGTCCACCAACCTCATCACACCCACGTGGATTCTGTTCCTCATGGTTGGACTGATTCAAGACCTATCTCTCTCCCCTCTATCACTCGAGGCTTGCTAGTAATCACTCCGAACCGCTGACTCCCATCATAACTTGGCTATATTGGCCAGGACCAGGTCTTGTCCGCTTGTTCGTCTGACGAGGCCACCCAATGGCCAAAGCTGTCTATCCCGCACTGCCGCCCCCGGTAGGACCTCTTGAGCTTGGCCCCCTGCTAATGGAGCATGGAACCGCCTTCTCCAAGCACACATCTCTTCCATTCGCAACTGGCGCTTCTAGTGCCGATTTCCACCGCTCTGTGCCTGGCGAGATTGCTCTAAGAGGCGGAGCAACTGCCAGAAACCGCAAAGTCTTGCGTATTGTTTGCTCTAGCGTGAGAAGCCTCACCCTGGCTCGCATATCCCCAATATCGAGTTGGTTTGCTTGCCGGCCCCCAACCTCGCCCGAGCAATGAATGCTTGAGTTGGAGTCTTGGAGACATGGTGGACACTCACCGCAACCCTTACAACGGACTGTTGTCTGGGGTGTACGACTCGATGTTGATCCACTGGCCTCATTACCCCGGCGCTCCGCTCGTTGCTCTCTTGGTTATGTATAAGACGTTGCGGCAGCTGGAGGACGGTAGCTTGCCTTGTCTCTCTGTTCCTTGTGCCCTACGAGCAAGTCCTCGAGTTCCGTCCCTGTTCCTGTTGTCTTGAGTTACTTCGTCTACCGTCATCATGTTGGCCAAGTTCTCTCTTCTCCCTTTGCTGTCTGCCGCAGTCTCGGCATCTCCCATCCTCGATGCCAGGGCCCCGGTGGCTGCTCTCGACGAGAGAGCCGTGACGGTGTCGAGTGCCGACCTGTCCAATTTTGAGTACTACGTTCAGGTAGGACATGCCCAGACTTCTTGGCTTGAGCGCGTGTGCTAATGTGTAACATAGATGGTGGCAGCAACCTCTTGCAACAGCGAGGCCGCCGCTGGTGCATCAATCACCTGCAGCGCCGATGCTTGCCCCGATGTCACTGCCAACGGAGGAAAGATTGTGGGAACCTTTTCGTAAGTTGACACGATACTCTTGACCTCTTACCTAGCTAACATGCTCCCAGTGGACTCGTCTCTGGCCTCCAGGGCTTCGTCGCCACGGACCCCGTGAGAAAGAACATTGTCATTGCCATCCGCGGCTCCAGCAACGTCCGCAATTGGATCACCAACATCCTGTTCGGCTTCGACGACTGCGACTTTGTCGACGGCTGCAAGGTCCACACCGGCTTCGCCAACGGCTGGGACGAGGTCAAGGACTCCCTTCTGGCTTCCGTCAAGTCCGCAAAGGCCGCCAACCCCAGCTACACCATCATCGGCACCGGTCACTCCCTCGGCGGCGCTGTAGTCACCATTGCCGCCGCCGACCTCCGCCGCGACGGCTACCCGGTCGACATCTACACCTACGGCAGCCCCCGCGTCGGCAACGCCGCCTTCACCAACTTCGTCACCGCTCAGACCGGCGCCGAGTACCGCGTCACCCACGTCGACGACCCCGTCCCCCGTCTGCCCCCCATCCTCTTCGGCTACCGCCACACCAGCCCCGAGTACTGGCTCTCCACCGGCAACGCCACCACCGTCGACTACGGCATCACCGATATCAAGGTCTGCGAGGGCGCCGCCAACACCAAGTGCAATGGCGGCACGTTCGGCCTCGACGTCGACGCCCACCTGTACTACCTCCGCCGGACCGGCGCCTGCAGCACCGACAGCTTCGGTATCAAGGAGAGAGAGGAAGACATCTCGGACGAGGACCTCTCTGCGCGCCTGACGGCCTGGGCGCAGCAGGATATCGAGTACGCCGCGTCGCTTGAGGAGTAGAGAAGGCACGATGCCGGCATGTATGGATACAACATACACGAAAGGAGTTTAAATGTCATGACCATGTTATGAAAAGGCAGGGAAGCGGGCTTCTGGAGTTTTTGGGGGAAGCATCATCATCATCATCATCAAAAGGATACCATCAAGGGATATCCCGAGCCCTCCCGGCTGAGGAAATATCGTCAAAAATATTCACGTACATAATAGTATAGTACATAATCCACGCCCAGCGTCAGCTCGGCGTTGAAAACCGCAACAGTTCTTTTTCTCTGAACATCTGAATGGCTGTGAATCCAGTGACCCACGATGGACGCACCCCGGACTGGGTACTGAGTCCGAACACACGAAAGAGAGGACCCCTTGTCGTCGACTGACTCGCAAGTCTGTCAACCAAAGACGCGCGCGGTACCCAATCGAGCAAAGTCGTACTCCAAATCCAGCGTCCTTTTTATGGCAACCGCGTGGTTCCGTTGTTTCAACTCCCATCGTACTCCGTACTAAGAATGGCACGGCGCGTTGGAGCGGTTGTGTTACGTATATATTGGCACTTGGCATCGATGGGCGAGAAGTGGTATTCTGTAGTGTACCATATGGTCCAGGATAGAGTTTCCCAGAACGAACCATTTCATTCACCTGAAGCTGTGGGGATCGTGACCATTGGGGGAGTCTGGGACCCTGGGGACGTCTATCTGGAATCCTGGATAATTGATATCCTGGTAAATAACGTACCTCCATAACCCGGCAACCACGTGCGGAGTTTGCGAATCATGGTCCCGTGGATGCTGACATTGCTGGCCAGCTAATCCACTGACCAGCTAATCCATTCCACGGCTCCTCACCGTACACTAGTCACTCAAGTTGCATCTCAAGAGTTACTGATACCTAATGTCTGAACCTACTGTCCAGATTGAATTTCCTTGAGCAACAAAGAACCACCCAGTTAAACGCTGAGGGTGTCTCTACCTAAAGTAATGGGTCATACCCATACACGCAAAAGGCGTTCCATCCGTGAACGCGTACCACCATGCCATCCATTTGCAAATCGAAAAGGGGGTATAGGAAGAAGAGTGAACGACGCACGCCCGACTCCAATGATAGGGGCTGGGTACTAGAGTCCCAAATGTCCTGATCCTTTCCGTGTGTCCTGCCTTGTCCGCAACGCCGCCCTGGGGAAAACCATAGAAATCCACTTTTTTGCGGTAAAACACAATGATGAAAGCAAAAAAAGAGTGCGTCGACAAGCAAAGTGTCTAAGATCCGCGGAACAGGAACTGCATGTCCTCAGGGCTCAGAGACTCCATGGCCTTGTCGTCGGCGTTGACAGTGGAGTTGATCATGTTGGTCTTCTTCTCCTGAATCAGCACCATGCGGCTCTCGACCGAGTCCTCGATGCAGAGACGGGTGATGGTGCAAGGGCGGGTTTGACCAATGCGGTGGCAACGATCGGCAGACTGCCACTCGGCGGCAGGGTTCCACCAACTACATGTAATGGTTAACCAAGACCTTGATGGTAAAAGTATTGAGACATGGCGACTTACGGGTCAACGATGAAGACGCGAGACGCCTCGGTGAGGTTGAGCGCGACACCACCGGCCTTGAGAGAGACGAGGAAGCACTCGCACTCCGTCTTGGACATGAAGTGGTCGATAGACGCCTGGCGCTGCGCGGGGCTCATGCTGCCGTCGAGCATGACAGTGGTGATACCGGCGCGACGAAGACGCCACTCGATGAGCTGCAGCATGGACGAGAACTGCGAAAAGATGATGGACTTGTGCGAAGCATTGTCGGATCGAAGCTTGTGAAGCGCGTGGACGAGAAGCTCAATCTTGGAGGAAGAAGTCCAATCTTCCATTTTGATTCGATTGATAATCGAAGACTTCTTGACGTCGGCCTCATTCTGCTCAATCTCGGGCTGCTCCAAGTCGATGGCCAGGCCAATGTGGCAGCGGGGGCAGCCGGGTTCCTCGGCAGACAACAGGTAGCTTCTAGCACAGGCGCGGCAAAAGTCATGCTTGCAGCGGCTCCTGATGGCATCCTCGGCCGGCTCATCACAAATGCTACACATGAGTGTGTTCTGACCGCCCTCTCCGTGCTTGCGAAGGATCAGATCGGGGTGGTCGGCCACCTGACGCATCTGCATAATGAGACCAAAGATGTTGGCGTAGTTGTTGAGCAAGACACCTTGGGCGACGTACGTCTCAAACTTGCGCTGGCCGTTGGTCATGATGCTGTTGGCAAAATCATTCTCTGCCTCACCAAAGAACTGGCGATCAACATAGATCTCCTTGACGGGGAGCTCCATGGAGTTGGTGTGGTCCTTCTTCAAACGACGAAGCATGATGCGATCAGTCATCAGACGGAGCTTGCGGAAAGCCTCACGGCCCTCTCCAAAGTTGCCAAACTTCTGAATGGGGTTAAGGAGCTCCTGGTTGAAGACGGAAACGTGCTGCATGCCGGCGTGTCCACACGAGTGGCAACGGTGGTCGTCGTCGAGGTTCCAATCCAGGCCGGCACAGGGGCACTGCTTGCACAAGTACGACGCGAAAGGCGCGACTTGAAGGAAGCGGATCAGGGAGAAGAACTCGCCAATGCGGTTCTGAAGCGGAGTACCGGTAAGGCACCAACGGTACGAGGTCTTCAAAGCAAAGCAAGCCTTGGCCGTCATGGTAGTACGGGTCTTGATGCTATGGGCCTCGTCGAGGATGATGCGGTGGAAGTCGACCTGGTGGATCAAGCTCTTCTCCTTGTGTACACCGTCTGGGCGGGTGAAACCCTTCTCTTGCTTGCGGTACATGGACTCCAGACTGTTGTAGGACATCATGATGACATCGAACTTCTTGAGCTCCTTCAGGGTCATCTTCTTCGCGTTCTTCATAGTACCGTGGTAGACAAAGACCTTGAGGGTGCCGTCGGTGTAGGACTCGATCTCGCTCTTCCACTGCATCAAAGCAACGGGAGGAACTAAGACGAGGGATGGCTTCTTCTGGGGGTAGTCGGACATGACCAGGGACACAGCCTGGATGGTCTTGCCGAGACCCATCTCATCACCCAAAAGTCCGCCTTTGTAGTCGGTCTTCTCCATCTCAATCATCCAAGCGACACCTGCGAGCTGGAAGGGCTTGAGCTGACGCGAGATCTGTGGCGGCTGAGCGATCTTGTCAGGTCTGAGCGCCGGCGAAGCCTCCAAGTCCTGCCACATGGTGAGAAGCTCAGGATGGTTGTTCTCCAACCTGGCGCGTTCAAGCATGCCGCGGCGCTTGTTGCCACGCTGGTAGGCGCGGCGACCACGGGATTGTGCCGCCACGGCGTTCTGGAGGCCGCCGTCACTATCGGCCGCGTCGTCAGAGGAATCCGAGTCGTCAAAGTCACCGCTAGAGAGGCTCGACAAAGCATCGTCATCGTCGTCATCGAGTTGGCGGGGCATCGCAGGGACTGCAGGCAGGGTCGAACCGGAAGCTCTAGTCCGTCTGGCTGGCTGCTTACCCTTGCCCTTTGCCTTCGCCTTCTTGGGGATCTTGTTGCTATCATCATCCTCAAGTTCAGAGAAGTTATCCGAGAGATCGCTAAGCTCACCCGACCCCGTCGAGTCTGAGGGTTTATCCGAATCATCCGAATCAGCGGCCACAACCTTCTGCTTCTTCGCAGCTCGTTGCAGAGGAGCGGTGTTCTTGGGGGTCTACCCCGGCTCCGGCCACTGGGCTTGGATCGAGAAACAAGGGGAACGTCCTCTGAGTCGTCGTCACTATCCTTGACTGTGGCCTTAGCAGCAGCTGCAGTCGCACGACGGCCACGACCATTGGCAAGGGGGACATCAGAGTCCACCATCTCGTATTCCTCTTCCTGGAGACGTCGAGCAAGGACGGCATCGGACAGGCTGGAAGAGGCAGTGGATTTTTTGTTCTCTTCCTTCTGGAGGCGGCGAGCAACCATGGCATCGCGGTCGTTGTCAGAGGGCTCCTCATCCTCTTCGTCATCATCATGATCGTAGTAGCCACCTCCGGCCTTGCGCTTGGCCGGCTGCATGGAAAACTCGCTGTGACGCAGAGCACGCTCCTTAAGTTCAGCTGCAGTGGGAAGTCGGACCTCAATTTTGGATGCAGACAGGGATCCAAGCTGGGAGTTTCTCAAAGCTGCAGGCAATACAGGAGGACGATAGCCAGAGACTGAGGGGGCAGGTGTAGCGACATTGCTGGTGGCAGGGGTAGAGGCTTCACTGGCAGAAGTCAGGTCGGCAGATGCAGCGGCAGACGCAGACGCAGACGCAGTTGAGGATGCCGAGTCGTTAGCCAGTGAAGCTCTGCTAGGTCGACCTCGACCTCTCTTGGCAGTCGAAGGGGCTGAAGTCACAGGCTGAGGTGCAGCTGCAAGGTTCCGGCTCGACGCAGATCTAGTGAGACGGCCAGGACCAGCAACAGCAAGAGGGTCAGGTGAGTCTATCAGGTGTGTTAGTGATCGATCAATTCCATTTTGCGCACAGTGTCGTCCATAATTTGATGGCGATAAGATGGGCAGGCTGGATAATAGAAATAAAATCAATGACTTACTACTTCGAGTGGAGGCCAGACTCTCTCTCTGGGCGAGAGAAGGGCGACCACGGCGGCCAGTCATCTTGACGGCGATGGTGACCTTCTGGTGCAGTGTGGTGAATTTTGTGTACTTGCGACCTCAAGATTGAGAGGGAAAAATGAGGTTTGCCGGTATTTTCACACAGAGGTGAAGGTTTGGCGTCGGTTGAAGTGAGAAGAAAGTTGGGATGGACGGGACAAAGCTCGGCAAGTGGTGGCGAACAGTCTCAGCTTATCGCCGAATAAGCTTGGAGACTGTGCACCAAGGGGGTGGATGATTGGGGTATCTCGGTACCTCTAGTGAGGGAGGGGAAAAGGGACGAATTGTCGTACCTCAGGCTGGGGTACGGAATAGAGAGGCCACAGTCTGGCGGTTGGTGATGTGGAAAAGGGAAAGGAAAAAAAAAAAAGGCAAGTGGTGGTGAAGAGGGCCAAAGGGAAAAAAGAATTAGACTTGCCACTGGCGACTCCTTTTCGGTCAGGCAAGCTGAGAAAGACCGCCTCACATCAGACAAGAGGGACAGGACGGGAAGGAGGGGACCTGGGGGGATCAAGGACGCGCCCTTCAATGGCGGGCTCTGCACACGAAGTCACGTGGCTTCTTTGTCAGGGATGAGAAGGCGCCCAGATGCTGGGGCGACTGCCTAAAAAGCCAGTCTGAAATGGGATTTTTTTTTGTTAGCTTGACTGGGATCTAGGCGCTGGTGTGAATATGGACGTTCGGTCGCTGATTTGATGCTCACAAGGCACATTTACGTTCCGTGATGGGGGTTCAAGGTAGCTTATCAAGGTCCCTTGACGAAGCGGATGGTTCCCTGGACGAAAGATGAAAAGGACTGAATCGTACTTGGCAGGCAAAACCATCCTCAGAAGGAGTTTCACCAGCCAGGGGAACACATATCAAGACCCAAATGGCAGCATTGGATGCAGAGGCAGATGGCCGATCTCCATGTCCCTGGGGCTCCAGTGTGACGATTCGACTTGGGCGATCGATCTGTTCCCCGACGACTCCGGTGCAGTGGCTCTGTGGCTCCTTCCCTCGAGTTTAGGTGGCACCCACGGCACCTATCCGTACTCAGTAGTAAGGTAAGGTAGGTAGGTACCCCACGGCTGTTGTGGATCCACCTCAATTAAACCCCTGCTGCCTGTCTGCCAATACTCTCCTAATAAGGTACCTTTTAGCCTCTTAAACCGTCGCTTGCGTCTTTCACACGGTGCATCCTCACCAACACCCTTACTTCCATCCACTGATCTCGAGAGATTGGCGATCACCGGTACAGTGTGCCGCAAACTTCACCCCTCCAACACTTGGTCTGGGCGTATTGATCCAGGAACCAGACGACTCCAAAAGACGCTGCTTCTTTGTCACCCCTTTCAATTTGCCCCCGACCTGGCGCATCACGGCACTGTTGACAATTGTGATTTTTGGCATCTTGCATCTGTCCATCTCTCCAACAAAAGGTCCGGACGTTGGCCTCTTTTCAAATTCTCAACCCTCTGGTGTTAGCTGTCGCCCATACCCCCTTGGCTAGTCTGTAATTCAGACATATTTGCCACACCTACTCGGAAGGGATTTCTCACGACTTCATCACCCCAGGATCGAATTTCATCACAACCGCAGCTCTTTAAAAAAAAAGTCGGATCCAACTCATCAACTCATCAAGCTCGACTGATCCAACTGCATAACGAGATCGAAAATCCACCGCCATAATGGCGAGACCGTCTCGTCGGTCCCAAGCTCAGGCCCAGGCTCAAGCTCAAGCTCAAGCTCAAGCTCAAGCTCCAGCTCAGGCTCAGCAGAACCAAGTTCCTCAGCAGGGTCAAGCTGCTCCTCAGAATCAGGCTCAAGGCAATAACCGTGCCGGCCGCCACATCTCTGGACCGTGAGTCTTTCCACCTGCAATGCACATCTCACCACTGACACGAATCTAGGCAATCGGCTTTGACCGACTACCTTGCTGTAAGAATATCGAATAGACTGCCCACCCGTGCAAACTGACAATGTGCTTTCATAGGCCCACAACATCTCGGCAAACCAGATCCGCCGGGATGCAGACCAGCGCCGTGCTGCTGCTGCCGCCCAGAACCAGGCAGACAATGCCAACGGAGATGACGATGAGGAGGCCGAGGCCGGCCCCTCAACAGAGCCTGGCCAGTCCAGCCGCAATGAGACTGCAGCTGAGAAAGCGAAGCGTCAGAAGAAGGAGCAGACGGCCATCGCCAAGATCAAGGCCTCCAAGGCATTCAAGAAGCGGAAGCAACGGGGTATGGAATCAGAGGATGAGGACGACATAGCACGCGCCCTACTTGATCAAATGGCCCAACCTTTACCAGGCCAGATGGATAACTGCGCCATATGCAAGAAGCGCTTCACAGTCACCGCGTACTCGCTGAGTGGTCCCGAGGGCGGTCTGCTCTGCGCGCAATGCAGCAAAGATGAGGCCGCGAAGAAGGGCAAGGGCAAGCAGAAGCCTCGCAAGCCCGTCGGTGGCCAGGGCAAGCGCCGCAAGGTACAGAGTAACATCCTCGACGGCACGTACCAGACTGGCGCCAAGAATTTGACCACTCTCTGCATCGAGACTCTGGCCAAGAATGTCGACCTCGCCGACAGCTTGGGCGATTTGCCGGACCAGGTGGTGGACAAGATCGCGCGACTCTTCTCCAAGCGTCGACTGCTCAATCCCGTGACGCTGCCTCTGTTCGTGCAGCCGTCGACTACGGTCCTTCACATCTACGACGGTGCCAAGCTGGGCTCCAACGAGTTCGAGAGCATCTTCCAGACGGCACCCAACCTCAAGAGATTCAAGGCTCGCAACTCTATCCAGTTCAAGGACGAGGTCATGGACTATCTTCTGAGTCGCGATATCAAGCTTACGCACTTCAACCTTCACGGCGCGAACCTCCTCAGCGACGACAGCTGGACCAAGTTCGTCCAGCAGAAGGGTGCTTATCTTGAAGGCATCCAGGTCTACTACACAGACAAGCACGTTGGCGACGAGCTGCTTGCCATCCTTCCGGAAACTTGTCCCAATCTGAATCGTCTTAAGGTCTACCACAACCAAAAGGTCACCAACGTCGGCGTCAAGTCGATTGCCGACATCAAGTCCCTCAAGCACCTTGGTCTCCACCTGCAGCACGATATCACCTCCAAGAGCCTGGCCCACATGATCCTCGGTGTTGGAAAGAACCTGGAGACGCTTTCTTTGAAAAAGATGCCCACGGCCAACGACGAGGTGCTGACTGCGATCAGGGACACGTGCCGTTCCCTCAAGAAGTTCCGCATCACCGACAGCGAGCACATGACGGACGAGGGCTTTGCAGACCTCTTCAGCAAGTGGGAAAACCCCGGTATCGAGATCATTGACCTCCAAAAGTGCCGCTACCGCGACTCGACCAAGCCCCGCGAGAACGAGGATGGCATTGGCCTCTGCTCCGACGGGTTTCGTGCCCTCATGAAGCATTCCGGCAAGAAGCT